ATTGCGCCGTCTGCTGGTTTCTGCAGCATAAAGGCCAATGCTGGAGGATGGTAGGAAGAAACCGTTCAGCATGATTTCTGCTATGGTTTGGCTAAGGATTAAATATCGCAAACTTGCGAATAATTTTCGCCGGCGTAAGAGAACAATGAGAAAAGTCGTGGATAAAAGGAATCCCGCGATGGAAATGATCAGGGTGAAGGCTAGATAAGCCGCATACTCGGTTTGGTATGCCGGATACAGTGATGAAGCGTTGCTGTTCGGTGTGGAAACTGTGGAGCTGTTCATTTTCAGTATTTTAGACTTCAACAAATCCTCGTGTGAGACTAACAAGTACGCGCAAGTTGAGAAAAAAGTAATGGATTTAATGAGGTTTTTATATCTCAGTTTGATCATTACTCAATTGCTGTGCATTTCTCTCAAAGTATCCACCGCGTGGCGAATGCATGGAAATTGTATCTGTTAGGGGTTCCTGGGTGTCATACGTAAATACGCTATAGAAATGTAAAGGTCTTGACAGAATAATTGTAGTCTTGAATAAAACAGCTTCCTCTTAAGCACAATTGTAAGATTAGGTCGCTGCGCAGCAAAAGCCAGCCTTTCTTTCGCCTATCGTCTTCGGGAACTGGCAGCTCAGTAATAGGTTGTGGAGGCGTGCTGTGCTGTGAGGATTTGTACGCCTGGCGCCGGGCTGTTACAAAGAAACGGCTTGGTTTATGCACATAGATTTACGGTAATTCCAACTACGCCTTAACAAATTTCGCGAGAAAATTCATGCGCAAAGCGTAATTTAATATTTACCGCCTGCCAACCCGTATTCGAGCATATTAAGGGTAACACAAAAGGGTGTTGCCTCAAAGGAACGATTTCATTGCCCGCAACTTAATGGATCATGAAATTTCCACCAGTGATGATTTGACGGGCACTTTTCCGGCTTCCTTTACATATGTTATGCGAGATATTTTTGTATTTTTGAAAATGTATTAGCTGGTAGGGAAATGATTCTGCCAGAGCATTTCAGCCTGAACTGCTTATTCAGTGCTTCGACGATTGTAGCTAAGTACGTTCGAAAGAATATAAGGTCACCATTATACAGTCTGTATATATATAGAGGAATGTAAGGTTTGCGATAACGTTAACCATCGCGACGACAACAACATCCACTACCAGCAGAATCCCAGTAGGTATCTGAGAGGCTGGACAAAGCGATGAAACAATCGATTCAGAGATTCAGACCGAGAACAACAAAAACTACAGCGAAACAACGGCTAATGTTTTCTTCAGTTATCTATCTCTTCTATGGAGGGCATTTCACTTAGATAGCGCATTCACCACCCCAACCAACTAGAAATACGCTCGCAATGCCAAAATCTGAGCTTACGCAGCGGCTGTAAAATAGCGTTGACGCTGCCGGGTAGTGCAACCACCTACGGTTGATTGTTGGATTGACCGTAATTTGGCATAATGTATTGTTTAGTGTCCGTCGAAATAATAAACGCCTTAGCGACGTGGCTGTGTGCCGATTCACTCTATTCGTACGGTAGCCGTACTGAAGATGTTTTGAAGGCAACTGATGGATATTGCTCAAGAAGAACTTGAACTCAGCTAGGTACTGTATACCACATTATTAAAGTGGTTTGTGCGGTTTTTGCCTGCTCGAAAATTTAGCAATAGCTGCAGGTCATGACACGCAGCAATCAACAGTAAACGTATAATGACACGTAAACGGCCACTGCGGCACTGCTTGAAATTAAATTCATTACAAAGCAGTCACAATGTTAGATCCGAATATTATATATCGCTTCTAGTGGATTACCCGATCAGCTTTTCCAGAAAATTCACCAATCTTTTGCCCCATTCTTTACAGATATGATGTCGACTGCAGTGTCCTTACTCCGGGATCGGGCATCGCTGCGCCGATCTGGCGTGGATGTGCAGCGTAAATCGAGGCCGGATCAGCGCAGCGATGCACGACACACTGAGGGTCCCTCATATTTTAGTGCATCATCGCAAATGGGTCTGCGAATTGCAAGGAAATCGCAGACACATTTGTGATGATGCACTGGGATTTCCCGAATCCACCGGAGCACGCTACGGCCGTTACGGAACCATCAGCACATGCCCGATCAGCAAAATTTCCAAATGTACAGCGCAAAATACAAATTCGTGGATTGAGCTTAAGCTCCGGCATGTCACGTCACACTCTTTACAAAATAGATCATTATAAAAATCAATAACTTATTAAAGCAAAATATTTTATTTTTACAAATTTCGTCTTGACGATTTTTCTCTGTAAAGTATTATATTTTTGAATACATGCATCGGTTCGAATACTGTATATAAAGAAGTTTGTTAATCATAACTTGAGTAGTTCCATTTTTTGCAGTCAAATACCTATGCTGTGTTTTGCAGGGACCACGTCTTATAATCATGCGAATGTGTAAGTCGAGTTGGTGCTAGCTACGGAGTATGGCGATTTCTTTAATTATATTACTGCACTAATTAAATAGTAACGTTAACATTGCTTTTTTTAAATTTTAGAATAAACTCTATCAACAAAATAAATCAATATATATTACTAGTATCTACGAAGCATGTTACAAAATTACAATCATTATGTTAATGTAAATGTTATTATAATAAGGCATAGTAGACTTCCTTATAGCACCCTGTGACGACTGTGAGAGAAAGTGTCGAGAGTCGAACGTGGAGCAACAGATATCCAAAGATAATTTCAACGCGAGAATGTTATCGGTAGTATTTCTTATCGTTATATCGGTAGTAGAGAATGTATTTCTTATCGTTTCGACTTAAAAGGTTTTAAGTACACAGTGTTCTGCAAATGTTTACTGTCCAAGTAAATACACTGAAGGAAACGGAAATGATGGAACAACAGAAATAAAGCCCGGTGATCGTCTCCGATGTTGTCTGTAGATACATATATGTATATTATCGATTTCGGTGTATACTGTCGATTCGATGACGTCTTTTTTATTTCGACATACCGGTATTTGGGGCACTCTTGTTGTATTATTATTATGTTGAGAACATCGCGTAGACCTTGGCGAATTATATTTTCTACGGGTTGCAACGTAGCTTTTGTATAAGCTTTTTTGACGGCCGAGAACACTGCCGCCGCTATAATCACACTGAATTCCGAAGCCGGCAACAAAATAATATACGGCACATATACAGTACTTTGTTATTTATAATAATATGCTGTTTATGGTGCCTGAACACCAGCAAGAGATACAAAACTTTCCCTGTGGCACTTTGTGATGATGTGACATGGCAATGCTTGTACTTGTAATTATGAGCAACAGCAGCTTAATGAGATGCCAGTATGAGTTGTAAAAACCTGATGAGTAAAAGATATTTTCATGAATGCGCCACACACTTTATTCAGCAAACGAGTACGGCTAAGAACGTTAAAAAAACAAATCTACAGATTCAAGTATAAATTGATCCCGATTTTTGCGTAAGGATGTAAATATAATTACCCGAATGTACATGATATGGGACCACGATACACATAGGTAATTGAAAAGTTACCAGTCCTTTACCAGTACTGCAATATGTGCTATGTATCTGCAAGAATAGTAATTTGTAAAGGATAATACGCAAGTAATAATATTTCAGTAAAAGGATCGGGTGTAGATTGCTTTATATATCTTGCAAAATTTCACCAAGAGATGTTTCGTCGATACCGAATCTAAATCACTAATTGATTGTTTTTCCGGATAGAACATTAACGATAGACTGCTTGGCATACGTTTCAAGAACTGCCAAGCAGTCTATCGTCGATGGCCCATCTTGCGGAAACGCGACCATGTTGCAGCTTGCACGGGAAAACAGAATAATGGCATAATATAAACAGTAATCCTTGATGGGGAAAAAGCACCACACACACAATTAACGAAACAATTCTCTTCATGCTTAAACGACTTACTGTAAATCACTAACATACGCCTGATATTGCATCGCTGGTTTTTATTGTGCCAGCCCTAGTAACAACTGAAAAATGAGGAAGTTTTATCAGGTGAACGCTCCAATTCAACATCATGCTATCAGAACGGTGGTGCGATAAGCGGTCAAAAATAAAATGAAGTTCCAAATTCAGGCTTTCGTGTTATAATGTTTATAAACTTTTGACTCAGATGAAGAACATCTTGCCGCATTTTCCGTATCCAAAGTTCGCGTGATAGTGAAATGACAAAAAGGTCAATGGCTTCTATTAGTTCCATTGGTCGAGTTTATCGATTTATCGAGAACCGTTAAAATGAGTACCTCCTTCATATATAAGTGGGTCTCCATATATTATCAGTAGCGCATTAATTAAGTAACTACGTAGTACATAGGCCAGTACAAATTAAAAATCGAAGTACTTCTTAGTCATTGTTTAGATTTAATTCGTTTTATATAGTAAACAATGTTGCGACAGCAGTAAACGATAGTGTACCAAACACATCAGGTATCACGAGGCTGTATAGAGGCATCATGAGATTGTGTAAAATGTACAAAGTTTCCTACGAGACACCGAATCGTTAGCCTCACCTGCATGCGACCTCACCGTCAATGGAGTTTTTTTTTAAACGTACAGTATGATGTGTGATGCAACTAAAAAGCATTAGAGCAAAAGGGCTTTTAATATGCTCATTTTTCTGTTTGATTGCACACAACACAGTCGACGGTACCTAGTGGAAGAAATACATATATAATTATTGCAACGCCAACCTTTAGAACGTTCACTGTACCGTCCGTACGATAAGGGATTTTAATGCTGACCAAAAGAAAATGCTAATAACATACCCTTTTCGTTATCTGGTTTGGATCTTGTCACATCTAGACCAAATAACATCATCAGCTCGTGACCACAGGTGTTTCCAAATCATATCAGCTCACAAACATAATTAGGACAGATTTCATATGACAATAACTACGCATAATGCTCGTATATAAACAGCTGACAAGAGACGCTGATGTTTTTTTATTATCCAGCTGCCATTAGCTACTTATATACACTTCTTAGCTTGTGGTCACCAAGTCACCATCACACATGATGGCAACACTAACATCCCGAACTGCAGGTAAGTGATATCGTGGTGCGCTTTCTTTGGGAATGCATAAAAGGTTGACTTTTCTTATTATTTTTAAGAAATCGCTTGCTGTTTGACAGTGTTTGTCAGTTATACGTACAAACACTATTTTTATAGATCATCGCACAGCATTCATCGGGATTATGGACACCAACATCCTCATGAACCTGGCATCAACGATCCTGAATTCGAGCACGTACAATGACGATGAAGCTCGCAAGGTTGCACTGGAAACAGCAATTGTAACGCTGTGCCACGACCACCGGTGCATCTTGTTTCTACCAGACAATGTCGAACAGGAGACCAAGACGAACAATGCCAAAACCAAGACTTCGCAAGCCAAAGGCGTCGCATCCACCGACTTAGTGCTCGCTGTACTGAAAGATCAGCAGGAATCCAGCAAGTGCCTGTATCGACTGGATATCGACGTCGACAATGGAATTTCCGTTGATCTTTCCTTAGTTCGACTGGCTCAACTGTTACACGATACCGTGTCAACCGCTGTCGTATTAATCACCAACGACAAGCTCCTGCAAATCTTTGCTTTGGTTAACAAGGTCACTTGTGCGACTTGTGAGGTGAATAGTGAAGAACCGCCTACTTTATTCTATCCACGAATGAAAGTTGACTTATGGGATGTTGGTGCCGAAATGGAGAAACGGTTTGAAAAGGTCATCGAAGACTGTTGGGATGAGTCCAAGCTTTCCAAGGATGGGGATCCGATTGACATTTTGACTAATGCCCTGTGCATTTTAGATCGAAAGAAGCGGGAATTCAGCAGAATTCAAAAGAAATACCAGAAATTACATGGGCAGGTTGTTACCGGACGTCCGTCTTCTACGCAGGAAGAACTGGCTACTGCGCAGCTTACATGGCCTTCAGCGGGATAACGCTGAAGGCTGAGCCCTAAAGCGACAAGCAGTCTATCGTCGAAATACGTGTGTACAATATTTTTGTGCAACAGCTAATATTGTACACACGTATTTCCATGTTCAATACGTTGAACAAGTTTTTTACTAGTTTGTTCTGTTTTTTTGTGTTTCTTTGATTGATTCATTTTTTTTGCTTTTATTTTCTTTGATTTCCTTTCATTTTATTGTTCCAAGCGTTTAGAACGAATATGCGGTGGGATAGCATAGAGGAATGTTTCTGTTAAAAATTTTGTTTTTGGTACCTATTAGAAGTCGTATGATATGCGGTACAGTGCAGATGGTAAAAAGTTCAAGAATAAGCAGCATATCAAAAAAATCAAAATCAAAATTATTTCATCTGCCATGGTCGACAGGGCGTGATGAAACAAAATTAGATTTTTTGGTAATGGAATATTTGTTTATTATTGATGAGGTTCGGATGTTGTTATTGATCTGGTTCGGCCGCTCCTCTTAAATTCAATGCCTCTTGCCAGTTGAACAGTTTTATATCAATAAAGGCAATGAGCCCTTGTAGAGGATTTCAAGAACCTTGTGTTAGTACCTTGTGACCTTGTCCCTTGACATTCATATCAGCTAAAATTCTGAATAAGATAGACTAGTCACTAGTCCAGTAACTGACTGTCCATGTATAATGTATATAGTACTATAATAAAAGGGCATGTTGTTACATAAAAACATAAAGGTACATTATTTCGGTATTATACGGCTTGGTTTGGCCATTCAGAAAAGAGTCTTTTCAAAAGACTAACAATTTTCCCACGAGAAGCTCTGCTAGCTCCATTCATAACTACCCCATGTGAATTCTCAAGCCGAAAATGACGGTGCAAAAACGAGACGTTTTGACCACCGCTTGTTTAAGTATTTGTACTCTAGTATTTTGTATACATACTGTACTTTACGAATCTGCAAAATAACAAATATTACGAACTCGTGCAACCGGCATAATGCAGAGTAAAGCGTAAAAACCGCGGATGTGGAATCTATGAAAGTTCTTTTGCCACAATTACCTAACCGATCCGCATACATGTAGTGACAGTAGTCACCATGAATGAACGTCTGCTCTGGTTAAATGAAACTTATTAAATTCGTGAAATTACTCGTAAAACATAAATTTATCAAATGGTCGCACTACAGGCATCTAAACGCTTTTTGGTGTTTCTCTACGGCTTCAATTCCCCCCTCTGCAAAAAAGGTTAGCCATTGTTCTGCAGCCTTGCACTGCAGGGAACGTGCTTTGCGGACGGGCGCACCCGTTTTTATAAAGCTGTGTGCGCAGAGCGTTCTAGTAAATTTTTTAAGATCAATCATGTCACGGCAGTTCAATCAACAGCTCATATGCCAATGTTTCCGGCGGCACAACACCGCCGGCATACACTCAGCACAGTTCAACCGTCAGCATTCGCCTTTCATTCACTCTCAGCTTCCGGCGCGATTCCAGAAATGAGCGAAAGCCGATCGATTTGCTCTTCATAACAACCCTTCATAATCCTGTTTTCCGTCGCAATTTCATTCATAAAGTCCCCGGTGTATCTTTCCGCTTTCTTTATAAAAATATTTAACCTCCATCCGTCAGGATGGTTTATACAGTTTTTTCCTCAGCGGAACCGGCATTAAATTCTTAACTCTGCTTAATCAACAACTTACCTGATTTTTACCTTAATTGTGAGTTATCAGTTACCGGTAAGCCTACGGGAATTTTTTTATACAATAATACAATGTAAACCCCAGAATGGATAATTCTACGCCAAAGATAAACGAAACGTCGTTATACTCAGCGTATAAACACGAGTACATGGCATTCCTGGCCGTGACCCTGATTATCGCCATCTCGGGATGTATTTTATCCGCCACGTTCCTGGCTGTTCTATTACGGCGTAAATCTTTATTTTCCAGTTCTCGCTATCTAATTATCAGTCACACCTTGGCGGAGATGCTTCTCAACGGCTTTTTCCTACCCTCGGCCAGTATCGGTGCATTTGTGGCGGAGATAGATGGGACAGGAGAAAGCGTCTTCTTCAACACCACCTTCTGTGTCCACCACACTTTCTTCTTCGTTGTCACGGTGGCAGTTAGCATGTGGGGATTGTTCGCGCTGGCGCTGAATCGGTTTTGCGCCATTAACGTGGTCCAGCCGCATCTCTACCAACGCTTCACATCACCAGCCGTACAATGTGTTCAGATCATCCTTATCTGTATCCTTAGTGTTCTTGTTAATCTCTATAATTACACAACCAACGCAGTGGTCACCGCGGTACACCCATTACGCCAGTGCCGTTCCCGGCCCAGCAAATGGTTTACCGTGCGACAAGTCGTCGGAACGTTCCTACCGTTGGCATTGACAGCTGGATTGTACATTCTTATTGCACTGAAACTTCTGTTGGAGAAGCGCTGGCAAAACCACCGCCAAGTGAAAACCACCATTCCTCAAACTATTAAGCCATCGAATTCCGAAGCTCGTCGGATAAATTTGGCGAAGATATTGTGCTTCAGCGCATTCGTGCACAGTGCAACGTTTCTCCTGTATCCGGTAGTGAGCAGCTTGCAAAGGGGAGAGGCAGCCGACCCGCTGACTCCGTTGTGGTTTCGCACCGTTTTCAACGTGGGACTGTTGTCCTCACCGGTACGTGCTGTGTGTACTGGAAACGTTTCTCTGCTAACTATAAGGATGTCGATCATTTTTATATAGATTTCCTTCTTCATTATGAGTCGGGATTGCCAGCAGGATGTTGTCCGGTTGTTCCGCTGTAAACGAATAGGTGACGGTGATTACAGTGGAAGCAAGTCGCGCTCAGATCCTTCTCAGCCAGGAATCAACCGAAGACAGACAATTGCTCCTAGCCAACTAACTGAGCCTAAAACCCTGCAGACCTCGCTTCCATGGTCAACTTCAGTGACTTTGAATGGTTGATAAATTTGTTATTGGAAGAGCTGTAATAGTAACGTGGTTTAACTTTGCATCTACAGATACACTTACAAGTTACATCTAATGTACAATACTAACTGCTAGTAAAAAAACCATCTACCTACGAATTATGAATTTAACAATGTACAATACTTTAATATAGTTAATAAATAAAGATTGTTTAGAATTATTTGTCGTTTGTTTTCTTTGCGATCTGAGGCCAGCTTTATTTTGGCTGTTGTATAAAAGATTTGTGCTCATTGTCAGTAAAAACAAGTTACGTTTAAATTTCGGCTGGGTTATGTTTTAGATTTTACCGTGAGATAATCGTCGGAATTAATTTACTTATTGCGTTTGGCATCGTAAAGGTTACAGTATCAAGATAGACTGGGAGGGTTGGTGTTAGCTAGCATCTTATATACTCTTTTCAAATTCATGCTCCCAAACACTTTTGTGGCATCAAAAACAAAAGGTTCGTGCAGGGAATTGTCAGAACCCTATATTCCATATTCCCATGTCCCATGATATTCATATTTGACAGCCCGAACAAGATAAACTAATCCAGTATGCGATTACCGCAACTATTGTTTAACACTCTAAGAAAAGGTTAGGCCGAGGTAAGTACATAAAGGAAGTCACTGTTTCGGTATTGTACCATGCCTTGATTCGACCATTTAGGAAAGGCAAATATTTTCCCTAAAAGATGTGTCCAGAGGATTCATGATCAGGATAATACCATGTCCCCTGGCGTGAAAACAATCGGCAAGGTCACCGATGGATTTTGCATCTCTTCTTTGCAACCGCTATATTACAGCTCTTGGTTCTACAGCGCTGTCAGAAAACATTAATCTTGTAAAATGAGGAAAAACCCAGATCGGAAAACCGAATTGTACACTCTGCGGCACTGGACATGCACATTTGTATTTTGGCTTGTTTATTTGTTATTGACAGACTGCTGAAGTTTAAATTAGCAGCGCGCGGCGAGCCACTTTACAATGTAGGCAGTTATTTTGGGTGAGGTGTGGCACGCATTTTTGTATTCCCGCCCTCGCCGATTCAGTTCCGGTATAAGTTTAAGGAGTTTCTTGATTGTGCGTACTAAATTTTGAAACATCCTCTTCCGCTGTTATTCGCGTTCTATTACTTTAAAATAGAATGCTCGGTTTACATGCAGGTAAAGGCTGTACCGTCAATGCTTGTACAAGTGTTACTTGTATAAAATGCCCGCTGAATGCTCGGTTTACGTTATTCAAGCGCAGAAACGCTAATGTAATATTGCTACGTAGGTACGAGTACTAGTATTCTCCAGCTTTCTGTGACTTTGGTCTTGAAATACACGCAATCTCATTCCTTCCCGTCCCATTCTGGTGTGGTTGTGGTTGTAGGCTACATATTTCGCATCCACCCAAGTAACGTCAGAAAAGCCTCCATAAGTAAGCGTAAATATGCAGCTTCAAACAGCGAAGGATATCGCCTTCTAGTACGCCACGTAACGTGTGCAAAATATTTCGGAAATGCAGTGGCTTATCTATTCAAAAATATTAAAATCTCCCGATAAGATGTAATTTAATTGCAGATATAAAAGCATTTCGCAGAAGGTTTTTTTAAATTTCACCGACGCATATATATGTACCTACGCGCATATGCACCGTCAGAGTGGTAAAGTTATCTCTACATTTCGTGAATATATGCAGTATCAAGCGTCTGCTAATTCACAGAATCGTGAACTCTCTTTTGGCTTCTGTGCCGTCTCGTAATTATGACAACACAAACATCCTATTCCGCCGCTCTACACCCCGCACTAGCTAGTGACGAAAGCGCTTTGTACATAATTTCATGGAAACACAGTATCAAACGACGGCTAAATAAACGCTTTTATGCTTTTTCCGTGTGCAATTCCGCTAAATATTGTAAAAGCTTTTAGGTTGGGATCCTATTCCACAACGCTGCATTCCGAAGAACGTACTGCAAAAAAACAAAATCCGGGTTATTATACACAGAAGTGCGTTGAAAAGAATACATAGAATATAGAATTCATTTGCGTTATACGTTTAACAATATGTCAACATTTTTTTCGATTAACATTGCCCAGTATCCTGTACTGCAGAGTAATACAATCATCAGCCGGTATGGCACCGTTTCCGCTGGAACAGCATCGCCGCTAACACGGTTCAGTAGTCAGCAATTGCCATTGTCAACAGCCGGTAAATGCACTATTCCAGAAATAAGCGGGAGCCGATCGATGTGTTCCTTATAACAACGCTCCCAAATCCTGATTCTGCAGCCCTCTATTCATAAATTCCCCAGTGTACCGTCCGGCTGCTTTCATGCGGATATTTAACCATAATCAATCATGATGGTTTAATACATTTTTTTCATGGTGTTTAGTTACGGAAGCGCCATTAAATTTTCATGCCTGAATAATGCACAGTTTATCTACTTGATACTTTCATTGCGTCCGGCACCGGCTTCGTGTTACTGGAGAGCGCCCTGTATCACACGTTAAAACATGAATAATTCCACGCCAAAAATTAACGGGACATGGTTATACGCAGCGTACCAATACGAGTACACGGCATACCTGACCTTGACCCTGATTATCGCCATCTCGGGATGCCTTTTATCCGGGACATTCTTAGCTGTTCTCTTACGGCGCAAGTCGTTATTCTCCAGTTCGCGCTATCTGATTATCAGTCAAACCATAGCGGAGATGCTGCTTAACGGATTTTTTCTACCATCGGCCAGTATCGGTGCCTACGCAGCGGAGATCGATGGAAGCGGAGAAAGCGTCTTTTTCAACACCACCTTCTGTGTCCACCACACCTTCTTCTTCGTTGTCACGGTGGCCGTCAGCATGTGGGGATTATTCGCTCTGGCATTGAATCGTTTTTGTGCTATTAACATCGTCCAACCGCATCTCTACCAACGCTTTACATCACCAGCTGTGCAATGCGTTCAGATCATTTTGATATGTACGCTGAGCGTTATCATTAACCTGTATAACTACATGCCCAATGCGGTTGCGACTGCAGTAAAGCCACTGCGACAATGCTACAGCCGACCCAGCCAGTGGTACGCAGTGCGACAGGTCATCGGGACGTATTTGCCATTGGCCTTAACGGCTGCTTTATACATCCTCATTGCACTGAAACTCCTGCTGGAGAAGCGCTGGCAAAATCACCGGCAAGTTAAAACGACCACACCGCAGTCTAACAAGCCATCGCATGCAGACGCTCGCCGGATTAATTTAGCGAAAATATTGTGCATTACTGCCACTGTTCACAGTGTAACGTTTCTGCTGTATCCGCTGGCCCGGAGTTTCCAGGGAGGCGAGGTGCTCGACCCGGTGACTCCCTTGTGGTTTCGGAGCGTGTTCAACTTGGGTCTCTTATCATCACCGGTAATGCGTCAATAATTAAAAATGCTCTCTACCCTGTACGAAGAATGTCGGTGACTTTGTAGATCAGCTTCTTCATCATGAGTCGAGATTGCCAGCAGGATGTTATTCGGCTGTTCCGGTGTAAGAAGATTGCCGAGGGCGATTACAGTGGAAGTCACACACATTCCGACCACCATTCACAGCCGGGTGTCAACAAGCGGCAGACGCCTGCTTCCAGCCAACAAACTAAGCACAAAGCCAATCAGCCTGCAGTTTAGGGATGAACATCAAGTTGGTGGTCTGCAAGCCATTTTCAGCTGGAACCGTACCAACGTTTGCCGCCCTGTGATTACGCACAAGACCAGTCATTTCGCCATCGAACTGAACGGAAACTCGGTCAGACCTTTTCCCGTTTGTTCTGTCAAAATAATCCGTAAAAATAGTACGTTATGGCTTTCATGCCATGCAGCCGACAAGGTTTCATCGCACTTTGTGATCCCTGTGCCAATACCTAGATGCTAGCCCGCAAATTCTTATGTTTTATGCATTTTCATAACATTACGTTCTCTGGTTATAGTCAGTAAATCTCGTCTGGATGAAAAGAATATACAGAGCAAAACCTTTAACCTGCATTACGTTTTAATAAATACTTGCAAATTTTTTTATAGCATCTACCTGCGAAGTGCAAACACGAACTCACTTGTCAGTTATGAAAACTTCTTTAACTTTTCGGTTCGTAGTGAGCAGAGCGGCCGGAAACGGTTACGCACAACGTAAGTACTATACAGTCTCGTCAAATCCAAACAAAAATGTTTTACTACGCCGAGGATAGCTCGCCACTAACATCTAGGATAAAAGCTCGGCAATTAGGTAAACATGCCGTGCATACTGGCGCCGGAGTTTTGTTTTAATCTGGAGATCATGCACGTACGTACATCAGGACTTAGTAGAAATACATACAACTCCTTCTGCAAACGGCGTCGCAAATATCTTGCGCAAACATTAATTTTCTTTTCGCACGTTCTTTGTAATTTTTTGTGAACTCATGCCTTGCATGCAGCGTATATCGTGCAGACGCAGTCTCCTACATATAAGCAAATCAATTTGATTGATCTCTGGATATGTTTGCTGTGGCCGATCATCGTGCACGTGCATGCACTGCTCTGAGAAGTGTGAACTGACACACTCTGGAATTTGGTGATTCTGTTATCGGTCGGTTCACAAATGCATCCTGTCCATATTGTAAAAAAATTGTCTTCTGCCCGTGAGTGAACAGTAAAGGCCACAGTTCGTGCATCGTGCCGGTTGCTGGTAAGTATTCACAGTGACTGAGGTAATTAACATCTACTGACCTAAGAGTGCAAAAAAACAGGAAAAGATGCTTACGACAGTCAACCCTGGATAATAGTGAAACTGACATATACGTGATCAGAGCGTTGGTATATACTGTTCGTCAGCGTTAAAGGACGTTTATAGGATAATGGCAAAACATGACATTGTCGGCTGCAATAATTTTGGTATTAATATTGAATATCAATGTATTATGTATGACGAAGCAGTGGAAACCGGCCAAACAGTTTATTAATAAAGTCAACAGCTAGAGTGCAACACGAACACATCGAATGTATATACTGTAAATCACTAGAACAAAGTTCGTTGAGAAGCGCCTGCTTGCGTAATAAGCGCAAAAATGAAGCATCACTTTTTTGACCCTCGGTTGTACTTGTGCATAAAAAGTACACGGAACTGTGTACCTGTTCAGTTTATCACGGACTAATAGTAGATGTGAATTACGCTTATAATATTTGTTATCATATAGTCAACCTTTTTAAAATGTGCATTTTTTCCGGAAGCGTACAAACTTTAACACCAGAAACAAAGCAAGGACAGGTTAGCGCCCAGTACTTCCGTTTAATACAGCATTTATGTCCACGCCCATGACCTGCATGGACGCATTGGCACAGCCCACGGGATTTGCTAAGATGCAGTCGGGTCGGTTATCGTCGTACGGCTGCAGCGGAATATCCGCTGACGATAGGCAGTAGGGTGCGAAAATAGTATCCAGAATCCGGTCAATGTCCGCTTTGTCGCTGGACGATAACTTGGTGGGTCGGACGAGTGTGGCAACGTAAATTATCGGGGCTTCGCAGATTCTTGTATTCAGGTTGGGTTTGGCACACCCGTAGTCGATGGAGTATTTATTGTAATCGTACACTATGGCCATCACATGGATTTCTGGGTCTAAATAAAAAGGATTTAGACAATTCGCGAACAATATATGATTGTAACCGTTGTGGAAGTATACGACATTTAATATATGAAATTCTTTTAAATATTCAAATTCCGAAAGGTCATTCATTGTTATTCAGCGTCTCAGCAGTTCATTTTAGGCATTTACCCTACACGGCTTTTTGAACTGTAGCAATGCGCTTTACGTGCAAAACGAAAAGACTAAAAAAATCAGCAGTCAACCAAATAAAATTATAAGTAAACTTGTAATTTTCGCGAAACTTGCAATATGTAACGATAAATTTCTTAAGGTTTATGTCGTCTCTTACTGGGAGCGTAGGGCGGAACACTCTCGGACGCGTAGTCCATGATCATCTGGCTGCCATCCGCACCCACACGACTGATCCAGTGGTCGTACTGGCAGATGTATGTTACGCCCCCATCCGGCGTGGAGTAATAGGAACTGGGTAGCCACTGATATTCGGCATAGATATCCGTGAAAGGTACAGCAGTATCTTTGAGACCATACGAAGCGTAAATGTTGTTGAGGATGTTCGACGACTGACTGGGCGCAATTTGCCGGTACAAATACCACGCTCCCTGTACCTGGAAATTTAAGTAAAGACAAGTAATACTAACTTCGTCATAAATTCATCATTATTATTAATCAATAGAAGCTTAGTAAATATTAAAAAAAAGTAATAATTCAAATAATAAATAGGAATAAGGGTTTTGGTCAAAACTGACGACCCATAATTACGCATTTTGCAGCCTGAATATTTGGAAATTTAGTCAACGGCCTCAACGATGTGTTGAAGGTCTTTTTAATGTTCGTCACATCTGGAAATTATTATATTAATGACGTACTTTTTCCGGTATGTGCTTTTCCCAAGGAGGAATTGCAAGAGGGAAACCACACTTTTGACTGGGAACAGGAAGGTCGGAATAACCCTGTATTTTCTTCTCAAAACAATCCGGTGGGTCGATCAAAGGGCACAGTGGTAAATCTTTGGTGTAAATTGTTTTCGGAACATCGTTAAGCGTCAAGCAATACGGCTTCAGGATAGAACTAACGGTGTCGTCGATTCTCTGCATGACGTCGGCCGATAGTTCATCGGGCCGCTCACGTGTCTGTATGTAAAATACCGGCTTATCGCAGAATCCGCTGGTGTAGTTCGGCTGGGCGCATTGATAGTCGAAGCCGAAGACGCTGAAGTCGTAGTACGTGGCGATGTAGTTATCTGGTCCTAAAACAAATGCGTAATAGCACAATCAAATTGTACATTGTTTGGCTTAGTTTTGTGATTGGCAGTATTCGGAGTACACTGAGGATGGCGTTCGTAATAGATACTCGATACGAAAGAACGCCGGAGTCTCAACTTTAAGTCATAAGAAACCTGCCTTAGGAGTGTGTTTTTATAGAATGACCTTGCCAACGGTTTTGTGTGTGTACGTACTGGATGTAGCTCAATGATTCTTGTGTTATGTGCAAGCTTTTACACTTAGTAAAAGCATAATTAATTATGTAGTACGTAGCTATGTATATATATAGGTAATAAAACAAAAATTAAGCAAGTAAGATGCAACAGCCATGAAAAAAATTATCATAAAAAATATATTAGAGCTGCTGTAATGTCCTTCTGTTTGGTACCTAGTTTTTTCTTGCATTTTGATTTTTATTACAGTTATCGAATATGGGTGAATTAAATAGGATGTTCACAAGTAAAAGCTCCCGTTCATGTACACGATTTTGGTACCGGGCATTGTACCGGGTCACTTTCTTTAGTAAAAATGTTAGAGCTACACCTTCTCGTTAAATGATGGGTGATACAAGATTCGGTTATAGTACAATATTTATTTGTTGCTTACTGGGTATATAGCCATCCTGATCGGACGATATCTCGCCCAGCTGTCGACCGTCCGCCAGTTGGTACCCCGACCAAAAGGAATACGTGCAGGTGCGGTTGTCGCTGCGGTACTGCATCAGCTGAAACCACTGGGTCTCTGCCGCCTGCCCGGTGCCTGGCTCGTGCGTCTGCTGAATGCCCACGTCCACGTAGTAGGAATTGACCGGAATGGGCGGGGTCTGACGGTAGCTGTACCACACGCCTTCACTCTGCAATACATCGCAATGTGAAGCGTACCAACATCGATCCAGAGTACTCATAAAATTACTACAAGGTCCTACTGCGTTGTGTATATATAACTTGATCATGAAAGTCAAACAAAAATTTAAATTTAAAATGTACATAGACTGCTTAATTCATAGTAATTATTGCATATATTGCAGCTGCTGCGCAAATCAAACACCGGATAAAATAACAAGCAAATACATTAATTCTGTTGAAATACGAACGTTAAATCGTTAATACTCGTATCTTACCGCTGCCGGTTGGCCTGGCTGTGAAGGAAGGGTGTTTGGTATGCCGCATCGTTGCGGCACTTGCGTAGAGTAAGAATAGTCGTTGTCCCTGCCATAAGCAAGTTTGTCATTGAAGGTGTCCTGAAAGGGAACAATCCCGTTCACTAAAGGTATCAGGAGTCCTATAAAACGGTGTACGTGCTTTTACGATACTATCGTTAATTGTAATTACAGATATAAACACCGTAGATGAAAACTTAGAAAAACAAGTACATGTCTTGAAGTACGTGTTTTACGTAAAAGGGCTTAGACAGCCGGTTTATTCTTATCACGCTGTAAGCACAATTAATGAAGCCCGGATGGTAATGTAAGAAGGTACTGATTTAATAAGTAACTAATTGCTTTGTGGCAGTCGAAGAGGAAATTGAACCGTGGAGCAGATTACAGGTGCTTCACTACATTAACTATGGAAGGTCATGTAGCGCATAGGCTAATTTTTGCAAAGGTTATCTTACCCAGTAGCTGAAATGGATAGAAGAAAATCCCAACTTGTTTGCGGAATAAGTGTATCCTTATTACAGAAAAATCCATAGCTGCGCACAGTGATAGATAAGTATTGCAATAACAGAACAGTGCAGGGGCTCAACGCAAACAAAGTTCACTGGAGATTATGCCTTTTGCATCATAAGGAAACAGATGAACGGTATGATATACTTTCTACAACTTAACTACATGATACACTTTTTTTTGGTAAATCGTAATTATAGATTTTGTAGCGGCAAACCTCCAGACTAGACGCGATTATATAAGCGGAAAAAATATTCACGAAAATCTATCACAACGTCCAGCTGTACATATACAGTAGTGTGTTTGGCTCGTGCGGCTCCGTTTTCCGTCACTGTCGTATGGCATTAATTCTGTCAACATGTAATTGTTACTTGGTGTGATTTATGGCAGATTAAGGCGACCAAAGGGTGACGTACGCGCGTTTTGATGGTCAGTGGACGTCCATTAGACGGCGCGATACCTTTCTGCTGCACGGCATATTGTTTAATACACGGCGCTAATCACTCAATATATAAATCAGTTTCAGTAATTTGTACATTTTTGTAGCATCATAATTGGTGTACGCAAAAGTCACATTCTGATGGATGAGCCACGCGTCGGCATCCACGCAGAAAATGGACAAAAAACGGTCATTCAAGCGGCAACTAATTTTCCTGTAATTTATGCACAAAGAAAGCCGCATGGAAACACCTGTTTTAATAGCACTAAATTACTCAGCATTTTTGTTCAACCAAAAGACCGTGAACTTTTAGTTTTTGATCAATAAATTTATAATAAGCATGCAAACGCCCGTATGGTACTTAATAAAAATGTTTTCATTTCTTATCAGTTTTTATTCAACCAAAATGCTAATTAATTGTTAATTATGAATCAGTATATTAGTGTTTTCATCGCATTTCTGTCGCACAAAAATGTCTGCATTTATTTTTTAATTACCTAGCATTTTTAATTTCCAATCAACAATTTATTACAGGTTTTTTCTGTGCTTTCTGCCGCATAAAAACACGCCTCCGTTTATTTTTATAGTTTTAATTATTCAGCATTCTTCTCCAATCATTCAATCAAAAGATAGTGAATGATTACTGCGAAACCAGCACTTAATTTATTACAGTGTTTTCTGTGGTTTTCCAGCTTTGGTGCCTTCGTTATCCTTCAAATTACGTGGAGAAACAGTCTTCGCACAAATAAAAAAAAACCAAACTCACTGTGCAGAAAAAGAGGTCGACGCAATACACCCACTAGCACAAAAAATGCTAATTCAACCCAGCGAAACTTTCAAAACTATTGAGAGCCACTTCAATTCCAACACCAATAAAATAATTTACAGCTGAGATTGTCGTTGCACTTCGCCGAAAACGGTTAAAAATCCCTCAATATTCCGCAGACTCGCCACCAATGCCGTGTTCTTCGGGCTATGAAAAAGCAATGCCGATAATAAATTTTAAAATAATTTTATGATAACAATAAACTAAAATATTATTTATTTAAATAATTGCACCTGACTATCAGTAACTGTGACTTTCGTCAACGCCGTTGAGAAATAAATTAAAATTTCTTTAAATTTAATAAATTAATTTTTTTCCAAGAATTTAAATAAAACGTCAGTAATAAAATAACCAGAACCATTCTCCAAAAAACGAGCGAATTTCGTACAAACCTTTTCAGTTCGCGGTCAATCTGGGAGAGCGCGTAGACAGGAATATAGTTTCCGGACAGAACATGGCGTAAAATCCATGCCAGTGCACACAGTTGAATTTTACTCGTCAGCACAACGGGGGCAGTCGCTCCAAACTGCAACCACCACGCGGTTAACAACAATCAACAATTATGTAATATAAATAATAAATACAGACTAGAATATCCTTCAATATATTTTCTACATATAAACGCAGATATTACCATACTTGATAGAATATTTGAATAATACATAATATTTAAATAATCATTTAATATTCGTAAAAAATATAAACAACTCAATATTATTTTGTTTTTATCTGTTCGTATATAAACGCATTCACCAGTCCGCAGCATCGGAAGAATTCCTCAAAAAATGTGTGTCCGGCCGTCATGATGGCGTATGACAGCAAATACTCTGCAAAAATAATCCATATACAAAAGAATTTTAATATTTGATTTTTATAAAAAAAAATCGCCATGCGAAAAGAGAAGATAAGTATCTGAATAAACTGAATAAGGAAATTAATTAGTATATTTTTGCATAGTTACCCGTGTACTGCAGTGTTGCTTCCAACAAATGATCCGCGAGTAAACGCTACACATAGAAAATACAGCCATAATTAATACAAGCATCACAACAAAGAGCACTGTCACATCACAACGTCAAATGCACTGTCACTGCAAAAAGCCAAAAATATATGTACGAGGATTACTTGATCTGGACTGGTACCTGAATATGGTCTTCCTCGCCAGCCAGTTTCTGAATATTGTCACCAACCATGACAACCAGACGGTGGATAACCTGATAATACTGCTGCGCCTGTTGAAAAGGATAAAACAAACAATGACCGTAGGGACCTTTTCCACATAAAGGAAGATACTTCTTCATCATATAAGCACAGATTACGTTTATTTAATGGAATTTTAATATATATTAATTTTAACATCATATCCACCTCAAACATAGTGTTGAGCTGCGTCACGGTATATCCGAGATATTTGAAACAGTTGTTCCGCTCCAGTCGTTGACCATACTGTAAAATAAAAAGACCATTACTGTCCCGATAATAATCAGATCCATGCCCGGGAAAAACTATCATCAAAACTGAAGAGCACGATTTCATTAAAATTTAAAATGCGCATAGAATACTCCACCAACTGTACCATCATGAACCATCGTACCATGCCACAACACTACGCTATTGCCACTACTATCCCAAAAGGCCGAAACGTCCGGGGAAAGCGGCGCATTTAATCATTTCAGTGTTACAATATACATGTAACGACATTACAAAGTACCTATTTCCTTAAGAATTCACGTATTATTATTATTATTATTATTATTATCATTACCGTTATTTTTATTGCGTTAAAAGTTATTATTACGTAATGTCGTTAAATCCCGTTGAGACAGATATTTACTAAGTAAGCTATTCGAAAACGTTTTGAATGAAATTAATTAAATTCCAAAGACTGTGCACGAAATTTGGTTTGATTTTACGAAATAAGAATTTCACCAATCATAGGGATCAACGATAAAACGGATAGTTTTAAAGTCGCAAGTCACGGTCGCATTTTAGTACTGGTAGTAAATTCACCCATATTAAACATGTACGAACTACGCGCGTTACACATTTCCAGTAGAATACACTAGTGATAACAGTGGTCTGTCTTACGGACTCTTACCCGATCCACAACGGCAAACGCATCACTATCATCGGCCGCCGACGAGGGGAAAGTCACATCCCACATGCCCTCGCCGTGCTGCTCCAGAAGGAAATCATCCACCTCATCGCCGTCGCCTTCGCTGGGCGTCTCGCCGTTAGTGTCGACGGAATAGGCGGCGTTCTCCTCGCCCTCCACCACATCATCCTCCTCCCCCGATTCCTCTTCTTCATCGCTGCCCGCATCATCATACGTGTGCCCACCGGCCAGGCGTCTGTATTGTACCGAAACGAATTTTTTCTCAACGGACCAAAGACATGCGGCATCACATCGAAATCAGTTATTTTATCAACAGTTTAAAACTATTCAGAAAAATCAGAAAAATAACAGTAAAGAAGATTATGCTGAAGCTGCCGTTTTACCAAAATTAAAAAGAAATAAAATGGGCAATTTCAAAACCAAAAAGTGTAGAACAAACGCAACAGACTAATGAATAAATAAATGGCACAAGAAATAATAAAGTAAATAAAAATAAATAACTACAGAAACGAATGAAGCGAGTTTACATTATATAAAAAATTAACTGAATAAACATAAATTGTTGGGCTTATTAGACAACGGGATCTATTGGACGAGTACCATACAAAATTAATATAAACGAATTTTGAGGAAAACGCTACGTAGTTTACAACCATAATTTATACAGCCAAAAAACCTATTAATGAAACCCAATCCGAAAAACTTACGCCTTAATCACTCCTTCCTTTCCCATTTCTCTGAACCGCGCTTCGAACAAATTCCTCATGGTGCGGCTCTCGAAGAAATCGTTGCCCTTGAGCACCAGCTCCTGCAGGGCGGGCATGCGCGACAGCAGATCCAAGACTTCTTGGTGCTCTTTCTTATCGATATTGTTTTCGCCGATGTCTAATGTCTACAGATGAAAACAGCAGACAAATAATAATAATTCTTCGACTACATCAGTCTACATGTATTCCTACTTCGCTTGGCCCATTATTTCAATCAGTACCGCTTTAGGGATCAATATATTATTCACTTGACCGAATTGACAGCCCCTGCGGCGGGCGGCTGCATGAAAAGTTACGGCTGGCTGAAATGCAGTCTCTGTACTGATTAAATATTTCCGATCGATCTTGGGTTGTAATTTTGGGTTGGGCCCCCAACCACTCTAGTGTTACCTTGGGCGGTGGCACTGGAGTCAAAAACAAAAAAAAATGTTTTCACATTAAAGTAATGGGCCAAGCGATAACTGCCTAACTTGTTAAAACTGGGATAACTGATTCAGATAATGGGCCAAGCGAAGCATTTATTTTATAAATATCTTCCTTTTTTCCATTATTATTATGAGCCGAAAAAACGCCCTCGGTGTGTATAACTACAGCACAGCAGATGCCACAATAATAAAATTAAAAAAAATAAACTACTAGCAACTTACTTTCAGTGATGAGCAGTTTTTCTGGAGAGCAGCCAAGATTTTCACCATTCCCTTGGAACTGATAAGACAGGAATTCAGACGGAGATCCTCTAGTTTCGGCCAATTGGGAACCGCCTAAAAACCAGAAAACGTGAAAGAAAAAGGGAAAACACACTATTCTAACAGCGACGGAATTGCCTTGTCGAATGCTGCTATTTTAAAAATGTGCCGAACGGACACACCACACAGCAGCGAAATACAGTATTAAGAACTGGTAACCAAATTCGGGTGAAGATATGGAAACTACATCGTACCTCAGCAATGGCCACTTCCGCTTCACCATTGGCGGTATTATCCAGAATGTCCAGAAATCGCAGCCCCTTATTCTGCGCTAATCCCCGCATTAAACCGGCCACACCCGCGGACTGAATGCCACACTGGTACATCTCCACTTCTTCCAAGGAACCCATCGTCTACCGCAAAAAATACATTAATTAAATTAATCGAACTTAAACAAAATTTTAAATGAAAAATTCAATACAAATGAGAACAAGTCGTTTACAAATAAAACACAATATCAAAGAAATAAAAATCACTGTCTAAACAAAAAAGAACTTCATCTAATTTACCAAGAAAGCACACCGTTAAAAAATTGAGACTGAATAAAGTACAATATAAAAATGAATACTAATATTAAACGATAATATTTAACAAAAATTCATGTCTGAATAAAATGAACATTACAATTTACAAGCACCAACAATATCTAACAAACAAAATTAAAATAACGAACACTCCAACAGCAAACTTAAACGATCAAATTAAAAGGGAAAACACAACTAACGGGAAAAATTGTACAACCATATAAACTATATTAAATCAATAAAGAGCTTACCAAAAAAATTAAACTAAAAATTACAATAGACTTGAAGGTACCAATGGAATAAAAACCACAAGCTATGGAGAAAATCTGTCCGCGAAGAATGTGTCAAAACACCCGCCAAGACTCACCGCAAAGACATTCCCTAGCGCCAGCGCCCCGCCGTTCTCCAGGCGGTTCTTGGAGGCCTTGACGGTGCGCAGCTTCACCCGCTCGCCATCAGCCACGGCATTGGCCAGCAGTTCCGACAGCATGGCGCTCAGCTCCCGTCCGCCCTCGGGACTCAGTCCCTGGTCGCTCATCCGCAGCACCTGCAGCCCGTAACAGCAGCGCCCCGTCAACACGGCCGCCATGCCGCGGATGCCCGTGCCCCGCAACGCGTTCTCCGACAGATCCAGCAGCCGCAGACGGCATCCGGAGCGCGCTATGCCCGCGGCCAGGGATTCCTAGGGAAAGGCAGGCATCTAATACATGAACACGCAAACCCGCGACAAGCATTTTAAAAAAATGAAAATGACTGTAAAAAACCGGTTTGTTTACTGTACGATAGTTGTACGTAAAAATAATTGTTTTATTACATTGAAAATCAAATCACAAAAAAATTTGTCTATAAATCGGTTAATTATGCAATAGCAATCTCTAATAAACTGTGAAAAATGAGGAACGACAAATGAGATGAACTAAAAAAGAACAGAGAAACAGCACTGAAAACAAACAAAATCCTCAGAAACTGCGTGAAATAATTGGATTTTCCAATTTAAAATTACGATAGTACGCATAAATTGGTCAACGAAAAAATAAGAAATTCATGATAAAATGTTTTAATGCAGCATTATATTAAGTACGCTGTATTAAAAAATAATTCTCAAATTCCACACAATCAATCACTAACACAAGTTACACAACAACGATGACATTTTTCCTGCGTATTGTCGAAAATTCAGCAAAAAGATATTTTTGTACATACCAGGCACTGTACCACTTCATCGATATCGCGGCCTTTGAACGCGGCAACCATATGAAGTTCCTGAAAAGCAGAACTTCAATGTTCACCCTGCGGTTTAAATGGTAGAAATGCGGAATTTAAAAATGCGGATTATATAACATTATGCTGGTATTTCACACTTAATTATCGACAGATATTTCCATATCGAATTTTCTCTGACTCTATTTGCAATGATTTCGAAGCATTTATCATCGACCGAATGTTTCGTTCGGTCTGCGGCATAAAGCCAAAAAACAGAGGAAATATTGTCCCGCATTTGTACGGGATACCTTGAGTTCTCCGCAGTTCGCCATTGCATTGCCAATAACTTTGGCCACCTCTTTCCCGATGCTGATATTCCCGCGATCGCTCAAATGCACTACTTCAACATTCCTGGATGCGGGGGGTTGTAATGCAGCCAGAAATTGTGGAACTAGGTAAAAACATCGTTAATTACGCAGCACAGAACCAATCGATCAGGATCAATGAAGGGGACAAATCGAGCTTACTCTGATCGGGGCTTTCCAGTTTAAACCGCGAGGGATCACTGGGTTTGTCCGTTTTCAGCGGAATAAAGTGATCCTGAAGGCTGACAGTCGACATATTTGCGGCAGGTATCGTCGCAGAATTTTTACTCGAGAGAAAGGGAGAAAAGGCTTCGAAGAATCACCACAATCCGACTAGCAAGTCAGCAACAAACCACTGTAAAAAGCCTGAAGTTTGAACTGGCAGTTATTAGTTTTGTCATCAAGCGGAGACTGTGCACTTGTGCAGTGCAAATGGAAGTAAGCGTCACGAGCCGAGGTTACACATTCCGTGCAATACAGTTCTCCCTGGTGAATTTTGTTGGCTTTTCTTGTGGAATACTGTATTCCGAATACAGTCAAAATCTTTCCTGAATGCAATGAAGTCTGAATGGTGTTATAAATTTAAAACGACATATTCGGAACAAATAACTGAAAGCTGCCGTTACGAATACAGACACCTTAAAATTTCTCGTTCTTTTTAGGTGCATTATACCGTAAATGCATAATATGGAAATTATGGACGCCGGCGGTGTTCTACATTATGTACTTATGGTTCTGTTTTACGCGTATCGGTGCTCTACCATGTTCCGCAGAAGTACTGGGCTTACCAGTAAGTTGGTTTTGCGTTACGAGCAACAGCTATTAATAAAAATAAGCATTATTCACGGTTTTCATCGGTACCCTTCTACTGTAATTCAAGTACTTACAAGTTACAACAGCAAGTTTTACATTTTACAAGTTTGCATCAGAAGCGTACCAGTGAAAATGTGAAGTTATATTGATTAACTAAACGCGTTCAAGCGTTTAACCATTTCAGTTCCCCAGATTGCTAAAGCAGAAATCAGTTTTATTGTAAAACTAAAATGTATGCTTTAGCACGCTTTTTGCGAATTCAAATGGTTAAACGCTTGAACGGGTTTTGCTCACCAATACTATATAGCTTAACTTCACATAATGTACAGTCAGTATGTACAATATGTGTGTACTGTGTACGCTATTCGGTCTCTTGAACTTATGCTGCAGAATGATGCAGATGCATTACCAAAATCAGGTTAATAGTATGTCTCTGGAATTTAAAGATGCAGTGTTTTCAATTTTCCTGAATTTAAGTTTAGCGTTAAATGCTGAAGTTTCATGTCAATGAACATAAGCACAATATCTGTCGATCTGCTTCATTCGATTTATATTCTGACCGTGGCTTATAAGTTGCAAAATAACCTTTCGATTGTTCTAGGGGGCTGTTATACAAATGATATCGATGAAATATATTAACCATCATGTACGTACATACTTTATAGTTTATACAAATTGATTTAAGATCAGTACGTATACTTATATTATACAGTCGTGCACTTACTGGTTAGTCATACCACAATTAACAAGTTAGCCCTTCAGTGCCAGATTGAACACCACAAATTGCTTTTAATAAGCACCTCCATTTAGATCTTGCACGAATATCACTGCCGATACTTGTAATTTTGTACGTACATGTATGTATACGCATTCTGTCGACGTGTTTCTTTTTTCAGCCATCAATTATAAAAAATGGCCTATTGGACGGGAAACAGAAAACAGAATAACCTTAATAAATCATGTATCCAGATAACAAAATCATAAGCATAATAAAACTTAAGCTGAGAATTTTTGGAAAGGTCAACGAATGAACACAGATCGTGATGCGCTCCTAACATTGTCAGACTGCACAATGATTCCCGTCGTATATTTATTTATCCATATGGAGCAGCGCCACCGGGGTAGCCTCCGGCGGCGCCGGGATATCCTCCTCCATTATACCCTCCGTAACTTTGCGCCGGGCCGTTGCCATAGACCAACGGTTGGCCGTAATACGTCTGGACGGCGTACGGGACATTGGGCAACGCCCCGCCCAGGTAGGGCTGGGCGTAGGAGCCGGGCAGCGGTGTGCCGTAGGGCGCGCCACCGTACCCGCCATATCCACCATAAGGAGGTTGACCGTATGCTCTAACAGCACACAATACAAATCACATCAACGGGCATTCGTGAAAAAGAAATTAAGACCACCGACATACCCGACTGCTCCGTAGGCTGGCTGCTGATTATATCCATATGTCCCGCCGTAGTTGGAGACGTTATAAGTGGCGGTGAAGTTGGCGCTGAGGTTGGTGTCGGTGAAATTGACCGGTAGATAGGAGGACTGGACCGCGCTGAGGATGTAGTTGATGAGAGAGGTATTAGCCACCGTCGATAGACACGGATTGTACCCATACGGCGCATACGACGGTGACGGTCCATAGATCTGCTGAGCATAGGTAAAGGGCTGCCCCTGCGGACAGGGTGGCCCACCATAGCCGCCGCCGTAAGGCGGCCCCCCGCCGGGATATTGGGAATCCACACTGGGCAGCCAGCTCCCCAGTATGAGCGCCCAAAAGGTCACGACATTTCGTAAGCATTGAGAGGTGGCTTGTTGAGCGAGTAGCGAGTCAGTCAGCAACATTGTCCGTTAGAACAGGCAGCCTCTTAGTTGTCGATGGTCACTGTTTTGATTACCGTATATCCATGCAGCTGCTTTTTTTGCGCGATACAGCAGCCTGATTTTGGCCCCATGCGACCGTTCAGGCTTGGCCGATGGCCCTGCACAACAGCGCCATTTGACCGCTGTTGCCGCGAATTACTACCGCGCTGTCCGCACCGATCGGCCGTGTACCGTATATCGAATACAGATTTTCCTGCCAGATAGACGACGCACATGTGCCATCTGCAGCATTTTGCGTCCACGATTATGCAGAGCGGATAACCATGAGGATGCATTAGGAAGGCAAATTATTGTAATGTGCCAGCAGTTAATTCCTTGTTAGTTTCGACTTCTGCTGAACTAACCATGCTTACACTAATTTAGGCCGCCCAAGTAATACCGGTGAGTTGCTTATCGTATGCTAAATTACAGTACCTCTAGCATAGTATCATTCCACTGCATGTGTCGGCATAAAAACTGACCGTGACCGTGGAAGCATGCTGAACGCCTCATCGTGAAATTATTCCACCCTGTCGTCGGCTTTGATTATGTAGTTTGCAAATGGCTGCTGAATGCTGATTTCAACCGTGTGCATTAGCACTCCCATACAGCTACATTGTCCGTATTCCAATGTAGTTATGTGATCCACTAAACTGGCGGCAGTTACAATGTCGCCGTTACCGTTGTTGGCGGCATTTGTTATTGAAAGTGTACCAACAACACTATATTTGTACTCGTACCCACAATGAATTACACGCAAAATCGTTCGTTCTTTTTCCAGCATTATGTTAAAAGTGAATGCGTCAAAAGTGCAGTAATACGTTCGTTGAAACTAATCGATTTCTTTAGATTTCTTAGATTTTTTATATTTCAATTTTTTACCAGAATAACATCAGTACGAGAAGTATTGGGTGCTGTGAAGCATGTCATCCTACCCAGAATGATTAGGGTGGCGAATCGCGTTCCGCATTTAAACAATTCGCATGCCAAGAATTGAGAAAATATGGCATGTTTTTTTTAGAAAAACTATCACGCATGACGCATCAGACTATACCATCGCATCTAAGCCGATTTATCAGTTATGAACTATGCTGTAAAACAGCATAGGTTCGTTACACCTATTAAAAGCGCAAAGCTAGTAGTGAGTGACGAATTCCACTACCATCTCAGCATAGTTCCGGTAATCTGTCACACGTACTGACCCCACGGGCCTTTGAGGAACATCATAGTAGAAATAGTAGGTGCCAATGTAATCGTCATAATTTCCCGCAGGGTCAATATCGACAGCGCTAATCGAAACAGCGGCACGTGAACCCCGTAGTACGGTTCCCGTGGTGCTGACATATGATGGAAGGTATACTGTATTCGAATCATCCGGAGCGCGGTAGCTTTGACTTTCATACCTAAAATTGTAAAACAATCGCTGATATTTTATGGCTTAATACGCCTTTCTGCTTAACCGGAAAGCAACGTAAGCTAATTTACTTTGCCTGGCCAGTATGATCGGCCCAGTTGTACGATATGCCAAAATTCATATCACATTCTCCGCGAATCCCCACCCACGGGTCACAGTCTTTGCTTCGGCTAAAGCTGATTACACGCATAGTCAATGCCATCGTAGGCGTTGGCGTGGTTGTCGTAGTGGTACGAGTGGTGGTGCGTGTGGTGGTGCGGGTAGTGGTGGGCCTGGTAGTGGTAGTTGTCTTTGTGGTGGTGGTAGGGGTGGCTGTAGTGGTGGTGGTAGGAGTAGTGGTAGATGTGGTGGTGGTTGTCGTGGTTGGCGTTGTTGCAGTTGTCGTCGGAAAGCAATTGGTATCCTCAGCCAGCTCCACTGCAAACAGTTCCAGACAATTATGGATTTGTGTTAGTATCAACCGGTGCTGCAATTGTTGATGTATTGCACAGCATGAGAATGACCTCATGTTTTGTATTGCCAAAGTGATGTCTATAAGTTGCTGCGCTAGACTAGATCTTGGTTCTTCAAACCAGTTTTAAAACAAAATCTTTTCTACGCCAATTAATTAGTATTAAAATAAATTAAATTTTATTCTAATAAAGCAAAGACTAATAAAACACAATTCCTGGTCCCTAAGTCAACAACTTGTGTTCTGACTCTAGGATTAGGGCATAGTTGTACATACTATCTCGTACGTATTTTGAGCATTCAACTTACTATTTTCTTGTTTCCAATCAATCAAAGTACGAAGTTTTATGAAATCATCAAAAATGATTTTTTACAGATAAATCTAGCAAAATAGCAAAACTTAAGTTTACCTTTTCTGGCAGTTATTCCGGACAGGCCAATCGATGAGACACAAGCATGGAACGCCGAAAAGCGCAGTTGGTATACTTCGTCTTCCTGTACGATGACCTCATGCATTGTCCATTCATCGCGTGGACTAAATGCGGACCAAACCGTGCGCAATTCGCGGCCGTAAGCTGTTACGGTTGCTAAGGTCACTTTGGCTCGCGGCTCTTCTTGTGAATCGATTCTGTACCAGAACTGTAATCGGACCGGCTGTCCATCCGCCCACAAACCGCCTTTGCTCAGATAAATTGCGGTGCGGCTCGAGCCGCTGTCCTGCACGGCACTGCACGCCGAAAATAGTGTTTTCTTTGCTGAAAAATTGCCATGTTAGTACAAATATTAATGGTACACTAGTATTCTAGCAGCAAGTAATGAGAAATCATTAAAACCGTACAAGCATCCGATAGTTCCGGAGGATGCGTTCCTGCTATGAAATTACTGTCGCCCTGGGGTCGTTCCCAGGTTGTTGAGTTAACATAGTCAGTTAAGTAGGCGTACACATTCCACCGACAACACGCAGGGTTTTGCGAAAGGTCATATGGGCAAACGAAGGACTGGTCATATGGGTTGGAAAGCTTTAGCGTTCCCGGCGAAATTCGTCCTTCCGGTGGTGAGGCATTTCCCAAGTGTACTAGTGCCCAACGTAAAGGTCAAAATAATCGGCAGTTCAGTATTGAAATTGTGTAATGAACGAGTCACTTACCACAGGTAATAAACATCCATAAATATCGTTCCATCGTTCTTTACTGCTGTAACGTAAAAATCAAAGGCCACGCTTTTCTTGGAGCATTGCAGGATAGTGCATTAGCAGAAGAAGAAAATTGGTAGTGAAAATGCAGTTTGCTGAGCCGAGGGGTTTTATGCACGCGCGCGGTTTGATCAAAATGCTCTTGATAAGACTTGATGAGATCAGAGCCAAACCTTGTTTAGCGATTGTTTGCGCCATCCTTATCGTTAACTTTACCGGAATTTCTGTTTGTTGGTTTGTTTTCTACGTTGTGCACTTCCTATCACAAAACCAATATATTACGAAATAGGAAAACAGAGCTACTTGTGAGCAAATCGTTCTACTTGTCGCAGTGAATGTACTCTGTAGGTGACGATAATATTGAAAGTACAGTATTTGAAAACGTGGACAACAAAAGACTTGGCAATGTAAAAACAGAAATAAAATCAGGTTTTGGTGATGTTACGACAGAGCTGTCTGAAATTTATGGGATCATGTCCTTTGAATGTCGAAACGTTATAGATTCAAGTGCGACACAATCCATGTAATTTTATGTACAATAAGGTAAACATAGTGAACACGCTACACATTATTTTGTTTTTTGTCTATCTTTTCGGGATCTGCACATTTATAATGTTCAAACCCGTCGTAACCTAAAATTCCTACTCGTATTTATTCAGTGCGGGATACGACTTGAAATTACGAGTATTTAGATTACTACGTAATATTACCTACTCTACGATCTGTAGGCTGTTTATAGATATGTGGTATTATGTACAGACTGTGCGTTCTGGTAATCGTGATTTCTAGATCGGCAGGGTTACAACACTACATCGGAAATGCCTGACTTTTCCCGAATACCGATTTACCGAAAGAATCTGTGAACGTTTCCCGCATCGCGGGCGTTTTCATTGGGATACACTTTTTGCGCTTTTTTTAATTGTGATACAGGGATGATGGGACAACAAGCTAAAAATACATATCGGTAGAAGATACAAATAATTAACAATGTCCTTTTGTGCTTTTCGTATTGAAATTTTCTTGGTGCACTCTATCGTGCTCTCGCGCTATGTCGCTCTGTTTCTTACAAGTTGACCGTATAATCAAATAAAGATTGAGCTAGTTCAAACCTTTTTACCGAATGTAAAAATTTAAATTTGCATTACCTGTACTCAGAAATTGTTACTGAGACTGTTTTAATGGAACCATAGATTGTTTACTTTATGTATGAATAATGCCGGTTCATAATCATGACGGTTTACTTTAGGTGCAGCCGGAAAGCTGTTGCGGTATCGCAAAACGCTCAGACAGTGCCAGTTTACATAGTTAAGGATGCGTCTGGCAACATTCGCGTTCTTATCTCTGACAATCCTTGTGCTTATACGTATTAACGGTCGTCATCGATAAGTTGTGCAAGGAATGAGAACTTATGTAAGTCACCAAGGATAAGAGTTAAACATACCGGCTCGCAATATTCTATTCGGAAAGTAAATCAGCTTGCTTTCTAGAGTAGTTATAGCATCTCAGTACTAACAGTGCAATACAGCACCTACATAATATTAAGTGGGTGGTTGATTTCAGTTGATTTCAAGAAGGTGGCAACTCTTACACCGATAGAGTCATGCATACGAATGATACGATGACACGGGTGATTATATGTTTGATACCCCCTTTATGAAGTCGACTATGCAGTACGCACAAAAGTTCTCGGCTTTCTGCTAGCTCAACATACGAGTACATGTTATACAAACTATGCACAAACTACAAATCGCGGCGTGAACCTAAAGTTCTCGTAAATAAACTTTAGGTTTACGCCGTCCTCCCTAGCTCCAAAGAAGAAAACATTGTTGATTGGCAGTTCGACAACGAAACGTCCAAAAACTAAGCAAAAAGTAAAACGAATTCAGCTAAAACAGTGGTAGAGAGTTAATGAAAGCTTCGTCATGAACCACTACTCTAGATTGCCTAGGAGGAAACGACTGGAGCGTTGGAATGGTGGGAAGAAAAACACGGTGACGGCGAAATTAAATGGAACTTACTGCACCCGTTTGCATTCTTTTTAATGGTCAAGTGACATGAACAATAGTTTACAGAAATGAATACTTCAAGTTGCTTTTGCATATCTTGGATATAATTCGTCACTTGAAGGAAATCATACCCAGCCAGCTTAATAAGGAAGTAAACAACCACTTACGTTATCAACTTCTCTATGGTATTCGTGGGTTGGTGGTTATGAGTTTTACCGTAATTATTCAATTATACGAGTATATCACGCTTCAGTGATTGCAAATACAAACAATTAAACCACTAAAAACGGGAATTGTGCTCACCCACAATATTCGACGAATTTTGATTCCTAAAATAAATTGTTTATTCGTTGGACTTTACAGCAGTGCGCATGCGGGATCGTGTGACAAGGATGGCCTTCTTTGACTGAAACATGATGCGCCCTGTCCTAATTTTTACGCACAAATTACAACAAGGATACACAGATAAAGACATACTACATATACTCTGTAGAGTAGGTAGCGTTTCATATTAACAGTAAAGCAACATCGGTGCTAGGCAGTAAATCACGGGAGTTTTTTTTATTTTTGAATGGAACACGGTTTACTTTGCAGTTGATTCGTGGCAGGTTGGCGAAGAAGCTAACGCAAATTTAATAACTGCCGAATATTTCTATTTCCATCAAAGAATCATGAATTCCTACTTCCCGTTGTGTTGTCTCCCAAGATATGCAGCACTCGGGGTGTTTGATTGTAACTAACTTTAAAAGTAGGGATGATAAAAGCAGGGAAATAGTTAAACGAAATACAGATCTGAATATTCGGGGTGATAGCTGATTTTGTGACAACGAAACTTTTTGTGAGCTGCCGGAAACAGCGAAACGGTGTAATGCTGCGACTTTCAAAAAAGATAGAAATGCATTAAGGTCAGCTACAACTGACGAGCAAAACTACAGTAAGACCCAATGTACAGCGGTTGGCATTTTTTATGTGCGAACTTATGACAGAATTATCTATTATCACACCATTTCAAACGGAAGGATTTATAATAATTTATCGATACAAGTACGACGTAATAATCCAATTATTCCGCTGGTCATACGGTCCGGTTATACGGTTATTATTATAATCCACGGTCCGCACGGTTTACGCAATGTCCGCAATATCACAAATAAAATTTCTGAAACTGCTTGCAATGCGCTTTTATAATATATTTACGGACAGCACACGCAGTGACTCCATTTTTGTTGGATTAGGCCTTATCAATCTTTGCACAGAGAAATGACTTTCAAGAAAATTTTAGTCCATGCTTTCACGGTTGTCGCTTGGATTTTAATTTGTGAATTTTGACGGTTTGCTAAATGCAGTTACCAATTAAGAAGGCATCGCTATACACTTACCTGACCACATTAAAGTACTTCGTTACAAAAAACAACGCGCAACGACTATTAAGCTCATTATCTCGGCAGAGAAATGGCACAATTAACGAGTACAATGCTATACAGATGATAATTCATGCATTAGGAAAGCGCATCAATTACACTACCGTGCGTTGTACCGTTCAGCCAACGTTCTGATTATCCTAATCTTTGATATTTATCTTCCATCGGCAAACACGGCTATTGTTCGAATTAGCTTGCATCTGATACACGGTGAAATTTTTTTGTTAAGTGCATTTTTGTTGCTTGTCGATCATATTAATTTTGCCTTTACCGTGGTTTTCAATTTTCATGCTTGCGGTTAGAAGGATGGTGCGCTACGGCTGTATATTGGGTAGGCGAGCAACAGGATTACAAAAGATGATATTTTTTTAAAACTTTTAATTGTGCACCTGTAGTTTAAATCACGATCAGCTGTTTAATTTTTCTTTAGCAGGAATATCTGCTCTTCTGGCTGCGACTGAGGGACAGCAGCAATCGACGTGTGCAACATTCAAAGGTTGCGGCATTCCCGTCGTCGTCAACACCGTAAACAATCCCGATCCCTTTAAGGTACGCATGTACTACGTAATCCATATAATTGAAACACCAGATAACTGAGGAAATAGAGCGCTTATAGGATCTCATGCGCCTGCCATTTCTCGGCTAAACTGTGTCCGTGCAGTTGAATTTGACGCTTATATGAGCATACTTAAGGGACAAGGAACACTCTGACCAGCAACAAATGATCGGAACTGTCACAAAATAATTCCTTCTGAATGTACCGAAGCTGATTCTGACTGTTCTAAAGCGCAGAGCTATAATAACTTAAACATACATACATACTGCTGCAACGCCCTGCTCCAGCCGTTGCACGGTAGCAAAGTGCAGCATGCGTGAGGGTACGCTGTCACTGCCATTATGGTCACCTCCTTTATACGTATGTAAATCCCATGATGTTATTAAATCCAAAAACAATGCATCGCTTACACTTTTACAGTATGACGGAACCTGGTACATGTACCGGCAAACCGGCTCCTACACCATTAACCAAATCTACAATCTTGTAACACTGAAGAGGCGTACTGCATTTCCATTCAGCAATACGGTGGCAGTGGCATTTTATATTGAAATAGCACATTATAACAGCCCCAACGATACTCAGTGCGTTCAGCGCTACTTTGCCGGTATGTGTGCTGTAAACGGACAGTGTCTTGGAAAAGCTTATTCATCCCTAGATGGCTATGTTCCTGGTAAGTGTCATATAAAATAGGATTAGAGGCTCTAGTAAAGGCATTTTATTGGAAAAGCCTAAATTCAAAATTTCCTGTGAGTGCGAAGACACAGTTGTAAATGTCCAAAAAGACCGGTCGTTTTGGACGGTTACACACGGTATACCATAATTATAATTTCATGCACCTTGCGATGTCTCCTTGTGAAGGCTGCTTTTGAGAATTTCAGATGGTAGCGAAAAGAATTGCCTGACTTTGCTTAGACAGGCCCTGCCCCTGAAAAATAAACACAAGCATTACTTTCGCGATTGAATACGTAGTTGCCAGAAAACTAGTGACTGTGGCGATGGGTCTTTGTTATACTCGGCTGTAGTACAGAAATTATCTAAAATTGATTCCTTTTGGCTGATTCTTTTTAGCTGCCAGCGACTTTAGCTTGCTGTACGGGGATCCCGAGGATTTGTATGTTGTGTACGTATGCGTCAAGCCCAACTACAAGACCGGTATGTGCGACAGTCCCTTCTTCTCTGTCGTCATCCGCACCCGACCGGATCTTTTGACCGCTGCCAAGAGTAAATCCATAGATGATATCGTCGATTCCATACTGGCTCCCTATTGTATTTCAACGGCAGATATTCCCCTGCAGATCCACAATCACAGCGTGTCGTACTGTCCCCAATTGGACAACCTTCCTCCTTGCATTCAAGGGGTTATAACCGGCCTCACAAATGATGTCGCAAACACTATTAGTAACTAAATGGGCAGAGTTCTGATATGTATCTTAAAATCGCAGACTATTATAAGGGATGCCTGATTATAAGTTTTGAAGTTTTCAAATTTCCCAACTAATTTCAAATGCCGCTTAGGCGTTGTAGCACCGCACCGGTGTGTACAGTACCTCTACACATAGCTCACTGCGTTGCACAGGTTTTCTCGCCTTTCATCTTTAACTCGCTCCTTTCTCATTCTTCGTCTACTTGTGGCTGAATCTGTTCCTAAAATCGAGCTAAAACAAAAACATTTTTACAGTGCTTCTGTGAGGAAGCTGCTTCTTTTCCGAAATGTTGCTACAATGCCTGCTGTCTCTGGGATAGGTAGGAGAATCATGCATGGCTTTTCCTGAATATCGATTCTCCGAAATAATTTGTGTATGGTTCCCGCATCGTCGACCGTTTTCATTTGGATAAACTTTTTGCGCTTTTTATTTGTGATACAGGGGACAGCAAGCTAAAAATGCAGAGAAGATACAAATAATTAACAATGTCCTTCTATGCATTTCGGATTACAGTTTTTTGTGCACTCTCTCGTACTCTAGTGCTATGTCGCTCTGTTTCTTACACGTTGACTGTATTAATTAATCGTAAATAATGGTCGTGTCAGTAAAAACGTTCCAAAACGTTTTTACCGATTTCAAAATAATTAAATTGGGTTATGTGTAATCAGAAATTGTAATCGAAAACTGTTGTAAAGTAACCATAGAATGTTTACATTATGAATAATGCCGGTTCAGTTGTGAATAATGACGGTTTACTTAAGGTGCACCCGGAAAGCTGCTGCGGTACCAAAATACTCGGACAGTGCCAGTTAAACTAAGAATGAGTCTGGCAACGCTCGTGTTCTTATCTCTGACAATCCTTGTGCTTTTTCCTTGAATAACGGTCGTCAGCGATAATTTTGTGCAAGGAATCAGAACTTATTTAATTTAAGGTATCAAGGATAAGAGTTAAACATACCGGCTCGCAGTACTTTTTTTTATTTGAAAGTAAATCAGCCTACTTTTCAGTTATAGCATCTCAGTACTAACATTAAAATATATACACATGTATATCTAACAAGTTTACGTAGCCTGAGGCTGCGTATACAGTGGACTTCATAAAGGTGGTAACGCTTACAGCCGACAGCGTCATGCATACGGGTGGTTATATTAAGTACAAGATCTATACTACGCGCGGCGACCCATAGTTTTGAGATCTCTATAACCATAAAACTTCTGGAAAAACGGACAACGCCATTAGATCCGGGATAGTTCAGAAGTGGCCGGCATGTGTTTTTTTATGAAAATATCGAGCCGGCATCAAGCCGGCATCAAGACCAGATTGATCCAACCCATCTTAAAGGTCACCTTGAAACTTAGAAATATTTGCCTAGATACAATACAAAATACCAATTGACATAATTATTACAATAAAAATTAAACCGAAAAATAAATAAATTTTTGTACTTATTCAAACACTCGCGTTATTCAAACATTGCTGCCGGTGTTGCCGAGCTCGAAACACGTTTAAAATCAACCGATATAAAATGTAAAAATATCAAATATAAAATCAATACGAAAAATCACTGGAAGAGTGAGTGACCGAAACACTATCACCGACCACTGAGCGGAATCTCTAGATGAGTGGGTGACCGAGCTACTACCACTGACCAGTAAGAAAAAATCACTAGACAAGTGAGTGACCGACACCAACACCATTACTGCCCAATGAGCGGAATTTCTAGGTGAGTGAGTCATCGAGCGGGCTTTGCTCTTGCTCACCTTTCGGGCTCTGTGCACTGGACAGTAGTTGTAGCAGGGTCACATCCTCACCTAGCGATTTTTCTCCTTACCAAGCGATATTTTTTACTGGACAGGTGAAGCTCGGTCGGTCACTCACCTAGTGACTGAGTGAGTAAGTGACCGAGCTACCACCACTGTCCAGTGCCCAGAACCCGTTAGGTAAAAGAGTGACCGAGATACTACTACTGTCCAGTGCACAAACTCCGTTAAGTGATCTAGTGACCGAGCTACCACTACTGTCCAGCGCATAAACTCCGTTAAGTGATCTAGTGACCGAGTTACCACTACTGTCCAGTGCACGAACTCCGTTAAGTGATTTAGTGACCGAGTTACCACTACTGTCCAGTGCACAAACTCCGTTAAGTGATCTAATGAGCGAGCTAGCACTACTGTCCAGCGCATAAACTCCGTTAAGTGATCTAGTGACCGAGTTACCAGTACTGTCCAGTGCATAGATCCCGTTAGATAGATGGGTGACCTAGCTACCAATACTGTCCAGTGCACAGAGCCCGTTAGGTGAACGCGTGACCGAGCTACCACTACTGTCCAGTGCACGAACTCCGTTAAGTGATTTAGTGACCGAGGTACCACTACTGTCCAGTGCACAATCTCCGTTAAGTGATCTAATGAGCGAGCTAGCACTACTGTCCAGCGCATAAACTCCGTTAAGTGATCTAGTGACCGAGTTACCAGTACTGTCCTTTGCATAGATCCCGTTAGGTAGATGGGTGACAAAGCTAACAATGCTATCCAGAAACGCGGAGGCGAAGCCGAGGCTGTTTCTTGTAAGTGTATAATACCACCTTTATGAAGTCGACTCTATATACAAAAATTCTCGTAAAATTTTGGTTCATGCCGTACTCCCTATCTCCAACGAAGAAAACTTTGTTGAATGGCAGCTTGACAACGAGACGTCCAAAAACGATTAAAACGAATTCTGCTAAAAAGTGGTAAACAGTTACCGAAAATTTCGCCATGTAAAGGAAACGACTGGAGCGTCAGAATGGTGGGGAGAAAAACACGGTGACGGCGAAATTAAATGGAACTTACCGCACCCGTTTGCATTCTTTTTAATGGTCAAGTGACATGAATAATAGTTTACATGAAACGAATACTTCAAGTTGCTTTATTGATTGCAGTATTCATTTTATTGAAGTATTTGAAGTTGCTTTTACATATCTTGGGTATAATTCGTCAGCTGAAGGAAATTATATCCAGTCAGCTAAAGAAGAAAGTGAATTATGTTATCAACCACTCTAGGGTACTCATACGGGGTCGAAGGTTATGAGTTTTACCGTAATTATTCAATTACACGAGTACGTGTATATCGCGCTTCAGTGATTGCAATTACAAGCAATAAGACCATTAAAATCGTAACACACAATATTCGCAGAATTTTGATTCCCAAAATAAATTGTTTGTACGTTGGACTTTGCACGCAGTGCGCATGCGGGATCGTGTGACAAGGATAACCTTTTTTGATTGAAACATGATGCGTCCTGCCCTGGTTTTACGCAAATTACAACAAGGATAAGCACCAATAAACACATACTATGCTCCGTAGTGTAAATAGCTTTTCATCAAACAGTAAAGCACCACTGCTGCTACGCAATAAATCACATTAGTTTTTTTTTTAATTTTTGAAAGGAACACGGCTAGGCAGCTGATTTGCAGCAGGTTGCAAATTTAATAATGGCTGATTCTTTCTGTTTCCATCAAAGAATCATGAATTCATACTTCCCGTGTGTTTGTTTCCCAAGATATGCAGCACTCGGGATGTTTGGTTGTAACTAACTTCAAAAGTAGTATTGATAAAAGCAGTGAAATTATTAAACGGAATACAGATCTGAATATTCGGGATGGTAGCTGATTTTGTGACAACGAAACTTTTTGTGAGCTGGCGGAAACAGCGAAACGGTGCAATGCTGCGAATTTAAAACAAGATAGATATGCACTAAGATCAGCTACAACTGACGAGCAGAACTACAGTAAGGCCCAATGTAAACTTAGTTTGTGGAAGAACGAAAAGGAGTGCTGCAACTATGTGTACAAGAATTCGCGCAACGGAAATAGTTCCCGCGGGTTTGTTCCCTTTTTCGTGATTTTTCCAACCGTTCCTCCACACTCACCCGCTAAGGAATGACATCAATTTTTCCATAAAATAATCCGGATCGACGTTTTTACAAGTTGTAAACATCTAGACTTGAGAAAGGGACTTGTCTTTTAAAGCCAGCGAAATAAAAGGAAATTTCGACTGGTCAGGGATTTGAAGTCGACCTCTTCTGGTCAACAGCCAATATATGACAAGCATACTAGGCTGGATTCTCACCAAAATTTGCAAAAAGTAGTCAGACTATTTTGTTGTTTTATTGAAACGTTTATGGCGACATTGTGACCAAAAGCTGATTTATAAGAATTTTTGTTGGAAAGTGAACACACTTGGCTGAATGACCCTCTGTACAGCGGGTGGTTGGAATTTTTTGTGTTCAAACTTATGACAGATTAGTTTATTTTCACACCATTACAAACGGAAGGATTTATAATAACTTATTGATACAAAATAATACGAACTAATAATCCAGTTATTCAATAAAAGATGCCTCGCATGGACTAACAGCTAGAGAGGAAAACAGGCGGCAGAATTATACTGTAGAGAATGTTTGAATTTTAAATTTAGGCGAAACTGGTGCCGTTCCAAGGATAGATGCCCATTCGCACGTTGAGTCTCGATATGGAACGATGCGACAGATTCCTTTCAGATCCTTAAATACTTCGTTATCTATGTAACCGTACTATACTCTGCTCTAACAATGAGTGAAAGGTTAAGCGCTTCGCAGTCATGCAGAGAATAGCAATAATGGACGATATCTGTTAATTTCTTTGTAAAAATCAGTAAGATACGGTAAAAAAAATGCTAACTGCACTCACCAACCTCAAGACCGTACAAGTACTTAACAACATAACCGTCAATGCCTGCGCGGACTTTCATCCTTGTAAAAGAAATAAAATGCGACGCGCTACAGCAGACAATTTATTATTGACAAGACAGTAGCAGACATACAGCATTGCTACGAAAATTTAAACCTGTTAATACGAGTATTTTAGTATCAGCTGGACTTGGACATTGTGTTATGAACTTGGTGGGACAAGTCGCCGGTCATCCTTCGCGATGGATTGACACTGCTCCCATTGACCATTCTTTTTAAAAAAGCCAAGAATTTTCTGATTTCCTTATTTAATGCTGTTCTAAACTCCGTGCCAACAATGAAGAGAATTACCTACGAAAAGTCACCCGATAAAAACAGTGATCAGTCAAATCATTTCACATATGATAATCTGACCGGGTTTGCAGCGTAGGCCACTAATTGTACTGTTCTCCCGTACATCGATGACCGGATATCCTTGGACCAAAGCGTGGTATGAAACATTGACATTAAGACCGGGGCAGGTAAGGTCATGCAGTTTAGGATGGAGGAGAAGAACAGTGCTTTGACAGTACCCAGTCGTCGTTTCCGGGTTCGCCGCTCCAGCTCATTCATCAGCACATTGGCATTCCAACCTAACCGTTGACATCCCAGCAAGGCAAACAAACTTCCGTATGTCAC